CTGCTGACCTCCTTCCAGGGATCTTGGGACCCTAGGGACAGAGAGGAAGCCCTGCAGCATTTTCTGAGGTTCTAGCACATGCTCAAAGTACCCTTTCCATTTCTGGCTCTCCAGGCAGCTCAGGATCGAATTAGATCTACGCTCTCCCTCCACCCAGTTATCTTTGCCGACAGCCTTCCTGCGGGGGGGCGGGGGGGCTGGCCTCAGTGAGGGGCAAGGCCTGGCTGCCCGATGTTCAGTCTCCCCCAGCCCTCCCCAGGCAGGGAGTAAGCCTGCAGAAGCAGCCTCGCCATAAGCACTGCCTGGGGCTGTGTCAGCAGCAAACAGCTTCCCTTGCACCTCGGGAGGAAGTGTTAATGAGAAGAGCAGTGGGGAAGGGTTGTGCCTGCCTGCGGGTTGTAATCCTTTGCTCCTTTTGGCTCCTGGGGACTGAGGAACTTACACAAGGAACACGCCTTCTTGAGGGTAAGACAGTTAACGCTAATAAAGAATGTGTGTACGTTTGTACCAGACAATTAACATAAAGGGCCCAGTGCAAACATTTCTAAAGCAAAGATCCCGACAGGATTGCAGCTGCCAGAAGGGACAGGATGGTGACCAGCAGCCTACCCCACAGGTCTAGGGTGGCACCGGGAGCTACAGAAAGGTGAGGGCTAAGATTTGCCTCTGTGTGGCTGAGGCCCCTAAGGACGACCCAGCCCATCCACAGCCCCCTGCCTTCACACCCAGGTCCAAAGCAAACCCCCTCCCGTCTGTTTCCCAGGGAGGGAAGGGATCCAATAAGCCCTGACTGAAGTGAGTCCTGCTTGAGTTCAGGCTCTACCCATCTGCAGCCTTCCCCCCAGCAGCAGTAGAGAGGGATTTTCTTGTCAAGAGCCATCGCTGGGTTACAGGGCGGGCGTCCGTCCCCTGGTCCTCACCTCACATCATTGCCCTTTTCTATGGCACAATCCATGGTTGAAGAGAAAGCCTCCATCCAGAAACCAGAGCCAGGCCGGGAATGAAGAATATAACAAACATAAATGTCTGTTCAGACCCTACGACGTGCACACCCAGCGTCAGCACTCAAAGAACAAGGCAGCAGGGACCACAGAGAAGAATGAAGACACAGTCCCTACCAACAAAGATCTGTGTCGAAAAGATGGGCCGAGTCGACAAAGCTGCTGACAGGAAATAACGGCAATACATGGAAAGTCCTCGTGAACAGGGGCTGCGGTCCTGGTAGCCAGGGGCTAGGAGGGCAGGCTTGGTCCACCACCAGCTTACGTTTCGCTGAGGGGACACTGTGAGGGTGGAGGCTGGAACCCACGGGGTTGAGAGGCTGAGGAGGAGGGGGCTGGGGAGAAAGCGTATCCGGCAGCTCTGGGAGAGAGACAAGTTTGGGAAAACAGAGACGTGTTGAAGTGCGACTGGGGGAAATTTTGTCCCACAGGTACTATGTAAAGCTCTCCTCAACTTCCCATAAAACCTTTCATTAAAACTATTTTGCAGGGGAGATGAATTAATGTCAATTTAGGGGACATGAATTATTGTCGGGGGCCCCAATAATGGACTGAGGCCAGCTCAGAGGGCCGGATCTGGGGTGGACCAGGGGGCTAGACACTCCTGGGTTATACAGCTTGAAGTGGGGTTCAAGTTCCCAGAATGGGAGGTGGCTGGGGGCTCAGGCAAGTGGGAAGGGAATGCTTTGCTGGGCCTGGAATGATGGCTGGGAGAGAAAGGGGGGGGCTCTGAGGGGGAGTCCGGGGGGGCTTGTAAGATGGTGTGAAACTGTGATGGAAAGCCTCAAGCCCTGGACAAGTGAAAGGATTTATTGAGGTGGAAGGCAGGGAGGTGGCAGCGGATAGGACACAGGTCACTGATTCTGATCTCTTCCGGCCTGTGTATCAAAGAATTTGACCTACCTCACCAAAAAGCTGGGGAGACTGTCATCTCTCACCTGGGCTGATAAACAGTTCCCCAACCGGGCTCCTGCCTGCAGTCTCTCCCTCCCTCCAATGTGTCCTTCACATACAGTGGCACTAGAATAATCTTTTAAAAGTCCAGCTCTCAGGGACTTCCCTGGCGGTCCAGTGGTTAAGACTCCGTGCTTCCAGTGCAGGGGGTGTGGGTTCGATCCCTGGCTGGGGAACTAAGATCCCGCATGCTGTGCGGTGCGGCCAAAAAACTTAAAAATAAATAAATAAAGTCCTTCAATGACCCTGCATCACCTACACCCCACCCCCCCACACACACCAGATTTCATCTAATTCCTGAGCAGGGCAGGAAGCACATGTAATCAGGCTTTGTCCATCTTTCCAGCCTCATCCATGTCACTTCCCTTCGCCCCTCACACTCCATCACACTGAACTACACACAAGTCCTCAAACACAACTTGCTTTTTCACACCTCAGGGCCTTTGCATCTGCTCTCCCCACCCCATCCCCCACCTCTGCCTGAAGTTCTTTCCCCAGCTCAACTGCCAACACCCCGGAGCGTTCTGTGAACCTCTCTCTCTACCTGCTACTGTATTTCCACAGTACGCTGAATACAGCACTTCCACATTGCATCATCACCATGTTATCATCTGTGTATGTGTCTATAATTAGTCAGAGGACAGGACCAGATGGTATTCTTTGCAGCCCAGGAGCTAGCACAGCACCTAGCTCATTGCTGGCATTCAGAAATTTTTCAATGAATGAGTCAATTCACAACTCAAAAGGGCCCACAAAGAAGACACCCTTTAAGGAGTCTGTTGAGCTGACAAAGACCCCCTTTCTCTTAGAACTGCCCCAGACACCAACTGGACTGTAGGTGGACATCTAATCTGAACTGAGCCAAATGGATTCCTTCTAAGAAAAGAGGAACTGACTCCAAGAAAAGCAAATTTGTTTCTGGAACTACAACATGTAAACTCTGGGGACCATGCAAACTCCACCATTTAAAATGGACAGTAGAGGACTTCACTGGTGGTGCAAGAATCCACCTGCCAATGCAGGGGACACGGGTTCAATCCCTGGTCCGTGAAGATCCCACATGCTGCAGAGCAACTAAGCCCATGTGCCGCAACTCCTGAGCCCACGTGCCACAACTACTGAAGCCCACGTGCTATAGGGCCTGTGTGCCACAACTACTGAGCCCACGTGCTGCAACTTCTGAAGGCCGTGCACCTAGAACCCGTGCTCCACACTAAGAGAAGCCACTGCAGTGAGAAGCCTGCACACCGCAAAGAAGAGTAGTCCCCGCTTGCTGCAACTAGAGAAAGCCCACGCGCAGCAACAAAGACCCAATGCAGCCAAAAAAAAATGATAAAAAAATAGAGTATCAGTCCTTACGTTTAAATAATAATTATAATAAAAAAATAAAATGGACCGCAGAAAAAGTCACTGCTTGAAAAAGAAAATGAACTAGCCATCTAGAGGACTTCAGAAAGCTTTCTGATGCCCAGTTCCAGCCCTCCCCTGAGACCATGACAGATTCTTGTCCCGAGCTTCTGTGAGACACCCCTGTTTACTAATAACCTGCCTCCTACTCTGTGTTTGAGCTTCATGGGATTTCTGTTCCTTATAAATTCCTGACCACACAAGGCAACCTTTGCCCTTGGCAGGGTTGCCTGGGCGTTCTTGTCTTCAAAAAACTTCTATTTTAATACATAAATCACACGCAGGCATAAATTAGACTTTAAATCACCATATACACAAGCAGAACCAGCTACATAATTTATGGGGCCCAGTGTAAAATGAAACTGTGGAATCTTTTGTTCAAAAAGTACAGTTAAAGGTGCTAAAATACTTATAAAGCTTTTTCTTTTCTTCTGCAGTCTCTCTTTTGGCTTGCCATGGTGTTTATTTGCTATTTAATGTCTAAGGAAATAAAAATTACAATATAAAATCCTTAGCATGAATTTTATCATTTATCTTTATATTGTGCAATGCCCATATAGAGAATCACCACAATGACTGTATTTCTTGGCTTCTCCCAGAAGATGCATCCAGCTAGTCACAAGAGATGAGCCCAAGTCCCCCCCAGACACTGAGCTGTCTAATGGAGAACTCTATCAGGCACAGGATACTTTACAGGGCAAGTGCAGACCCTTATAAGCTCCTGAAGATCCCTCCCTGAGACTCAGGCCCAGCAACCTTGACAACTGCTGGGTCCTCCTTCCCACCAGCCCCCAGATCTATGCGTTGTACCGAGGCTGGGGTCAGGGAAGCCAAGCCAGGCATCTCCCATTCCAATAGGCTGGCTGATCCAATCCACAGGAGACAGGTGAACCCCAGGGTCTTTAAACCTACACACTGAGATGTGCCCAGTATCTGGTGGGTGAGAGACCCAAGCTCACCAAGTCACCTGCTGAATGTGCCATGGAGCTGCCAACCTGAGCAGAGATGGCCACCATTATGCCCAGCCCTAAGATTCTACGGAGCATACAGACCCTCCCTGCATGCACACTGGGCAGAGGGCAGCAATGTGCACTTGTTGAGGGAAGGGAAGGCAGGGTCTTGGAGCACCAGGGCGCTGGGAAGTGGGTGGTCAAGAACCCATCCCAGGGAGATGGGTAGGCTTCGGAAATTAGTACTACGTGTGAGCCAAGGTCCAAGTCCCTGACACATGCTCCAAAGTCCCACTGGACTTCACTTATAAAGGACACATGCAAAAACAAAATTAAGAATTTCCAGACAGTGGCTATAAAGCATTAGACCCCAAGTGCCGAGCTCTTCTGACGTGGAGCTCTGTGTGACTGCACTCACCATACACCCATGAAGTTGACCCTCTACACATGAAAAAGAGTTCTAGACCTTATTAAATAACATAAGAACAAGAAGCTGAGACAAAAGAAGAAAAACAAACTTCACATACATATTAAAGAGCTTTAGAACACCCAGACCCATAGGTCAAGAATACCATTCACATCTCAGTTTGAGGACGAGCTAAAGAGCAGATGTCTCTACTCCCTTCAACCCAGACTGCAGAACTGACAAGAAGCTGTAATATGTATAGATAAATTGGAAATAGCTTGCTAAGCACTAAGTCAGGCTTTATTCCAAAGTATAATGCCTTTAGCTAGTCAAAGGGTATTTCATGAAGACAGACTAATACCAGAGCAAAAAAGAGGAGGAGATATTACTGGTTTCCTTTGTCCTAATAACTCATGCTTTTATAGCTTAGAAATTCAACATGAGCTTCACTTCCTAGAGGCTTATATAAAGAACGTCCTGTTGGCACTGGCTCCAAACAAGCCCTTTCGTATTTCTGGCATCTTTTGCCGGGATAAGAGATCCAGTCGACTTTCCAGAGTATTGGAAACCATTATTCTCTGATCACCACTGTAGAGCTCCACACCTCCAGCTGCATCTGTAGCCAGTTGCACCCCTCTGTCAACTTGGACTTCCACACGTTTGTGGGAGACTGCCGTGTATTGAGGGATGGCTTTTTGCACTGCAGCCTCCACCAGGAGGAGGTCCTGTGGCCTGCAGCGTACAATCACCACAGGCTCCAGCAGTCGGAGCAGACCCTGGAGCACTAGTTTATCCAGCAGCCCCTGGTAAAATACTGGGTCTGCCACAATCCTGCTGAGTCTCAGCTTTGCATCATTCAGCAACTCTGAGATGAGGTCGTTTCGGGCTCTCAGGACTTTCAGCCTTGCCTGATTCCTCATGGTAGACATCTGGATTTTCTTCTGCTGCTCTATCTGCTTCTCTTTCTTCTCATAATACTCCATAATCTTCAGTCGTTGGGTTTGCACAAGGCGTCCTTTCTCAATGTTGAACTCTTCCTCAGCCTTGGCATCTATTTCTTCTGCCTTCTCATTGGCTTCCCGCTCAATGAAAGCCATCATCTGCTTAATCTGCTTCTGCACATTGACATCACTCAGGGCCATGGCTGCTCCTGGAAAGGGAGGTGGAGGGAGAACTGGTGGATGCTCTGGTTCTTTTGACTTAGGGCAGAGTTTCAGGAGTGTCTCCAGAGTTCCACGTTCTGAGCTGTGGAATGCATGAGGGGAGGAAGTATATAGTCAGAGTCCAAAGGGAAGGATCATGGAGACCATCTATTCATGAATCATTTGGAGGAAACTGAAGCCCAGAGAGGGAAAGCAACCTGCCCAAGGTCATACCCTGGTAGAACAGAGACCAAAACCTGGGTTCCCAGAGTTCCATTTCTACTACACTCACCACCTTTTTGTCATCTAATAATAATGAGATGATTAGGGCAGACCTCCAGAAGATTTCTAGTCAGCAATGGCTCAATCACAGATAGCAAGTGGAGAGAATGGAAATGCCAAATTAATACAAAAATGGAAAATGCAGGCACATTTTGGGTTGGAGAGGGCTGGGGAGAGTCATAAGAAACTTGTGCTTAAACAGGAAGGTTGCCTTGAAGCAAAATCCAGGAAGGTTGCCTTGAAGCAAAAAGATTTTTAGAGCCTCAACTGATTCAAAGAGACAGAAAACTCATAGGCAGATGGTGGCATCCTGGAGAGAACTGCAAGGTGGGAGGGGTTGAAGGTAGTCTTTTAACTGGAAGTGGTTTCCAAACCTAGATGTACATATGAATCACCAGGGGACCTTTCAGAAATACAGCTTTCCAGGCCCCACTCCAGACTACTGAATTAGTATTTCTGCCAGTAGGGTCTGGGAATCCATATCTTAAAAGACTCCCTGGACCCTCCTATACTGTTGGTAGGAATGTAAACTGGTGTACTCACTATGGAGAACAGTATGGAGGTTCCTCAAAAAATTAAAAATAGGGCTTCCCTGGTGGCGCAGTGGTTGAGAGTCCGCCTGCCGATGCAGGGGACACGGGGTCGTGCCCCGGTCCGGGAAGATCCCACATGCCGCGGAACAGCTGGGCCCGTGAGCCATGGCCACTGAGCCTGCGCGTCCTGAGCCTGTGCTCCGCAATGGGAGAGGCCACAACAGTGAGAGGCCCAGGTACCACAAAAAAAAAAAAAAAAATTAAAAATAGAGTTGCCATACGATTCAGCAACCCCACTCCTGTGCATATATCCAGACAAAACTATAATTTGAAAAGATACATGCACCCCTATGTTCATAGCAGCACTATTTACAATAGCCAAGACATGGAAACAACCTAAGTGTCCATTGACAGATGAATGGATAAAGAAGATGTGGTATATATATACAATGGAATATTACTCGGTCATAAAAAAGAATGAAATAATGCCATTTGCAGCTACATGGATGGACTTAGAGACTACTGCACTAAACGAAGTAAGTCAGAAAGAGAAAGACAAATGCCATACGATATCACTTATATGTGGAATCTAAAATATGACACAAATGAACTTATCTACAAAAAAGAAACAGACTCAGACATAGAGAACACACTTGTGTTGCCAAGGGGTAGGGGGTGCGGGGGAGGGTTGGATTGGGAGTTTGGGACTAGCAGATGCAAACTATTATATATAGAATGGATAAACAATATAGTCCTATTGTATAGCACAGGAAACTATACTCAATATCCTGTAATAAACCATAATGGAAAAGAAAAAAAAAAGACTCACTGGGATGCTTAATGAGCCCAGGAAAATGATATATGAAAAAAAACAAGACTAGCAATAAAGGGATGGAAAATATTAAAAAGAACCAAACAGAAAATTTGGAGCTAAAGAATACAATAACTGAACTGAAAACTTCACTAGAGGTGTTCAACAACAGACTTGATTGTGAAGAAGAAATAAACAGCAAACTCGAGGACAGGCCATTTGAAATTATCTATTATTGTTGGAGAAGCAAATTTTTTTAAAGTGAAGAAAGCCTGAGACATATGGAACACCATTAAGTGGATTAATATATGTAATATGGGAGCCCCAGAAGGTGAAGAGACAGAAAGAAAGGAGCAGAAATCTTATTTGAAGAAATAATGGCTCCAAACTCCCCAAGTCTGAGGAAGGAAACAGACACCCAGATTCACAAACAAAAATGAGAAAGGAATCAAATCATGTCACTAAAACAAATCAGTGAAACACAAAGACATCAAGAGAGGGGCAAAAAAAGCTACAAAGCAGACAGAAAAAAATGAACAAAATGACAATAGCACATCCTTCTTTATAAGTAACTATTTTAAATGTAAATTAAACTCCCTAATCAAAAGCTATAGAGTGGCTGAATAAATTAAAAACAAAACAAGATCCAATTATATGCTGTCTACAGGAGACTCAATTTAGGTTTAAGAACACACATAGGCTGGAAGTGAAAGGATGGAGAAAGATATTCTGTGAAAGATATTCTCTCAAAAGAGAGCAGGAGTGGCCATACTTATATCATATAAAATATATTTTAAGTCAAAAACTGTCATAAGAGTAAAAGAAGGACATTTTATAACAATAAAAAGGTCAATTCACTAAGAAGATATAGTAACTATAGATATATATGCACCCAACATCAGAGTACCCAAATATATAAAGTAAACATTAACAGAACTGAAGGGAGTAATAGTCAGGAACACAGTAATATTAAGAGATGTCAATATCTCACTTCCAGTAATGAATAAACTATCCAGAGAGAAGATCAATAAGGAAACACAGGACTTTAACAATGATATAAACCAAATAGACCTAACAGACGGCATAGCAAAATATTCCACCACCAGCAGCAAAACACACATTTTTTTCAAGCACAGTTTTAACACTCTCCAGCATGGATTACATGTTAGGTCACAAACAAAGCCTTAACAAACTTAAGAAGACTGAAATCATACCAAGTATCTTTTCTAACCACAATGGAATTAAGCTAGAAATCAGTAGCAGAAGGAAAAATGGAAAACACAAATATGTAGAAATTAAACAACACTCTCTTGAACAACCAATGGACCAAAGAAGATATCTAAAGGGAACTTAGAAAATATCTTGAGACAAACAAAAATGAAATACACATACCAAAACTTGGGATGCAGCAAAAGCAGTACTAAGAAAAGTTTATAGCTGTAAAAGCCTACGTCTAAAAAGAAAGATTTCAAATATGCAACTTAACTTTATACATCAAGGAACTAGGAAAAGAAAAACTAAGCCCAAAATTAGCAGAAGGAAGGAAATAATAAAAATTAGGGCAGAAATAAATGAAATAGAAAAATGGAAAAGGATCAATGAAACTAAGAGTTAATAGCTTTTGAAAAGATAAAACTGACAACCTCTAGCTAGACTAAGAAAAAAAGAAGACTCAAATATATAAGATCATTATACTGATGCCACAGAAATAAAAAGCATTGTAAGAGACTACTCTGAACAACCACATACCAACAAATTGGAAAACCTAAAAGAAATGGATAAATTCCTAGAAACGTACCACCTACCAAGGCTGAACCATGCAGAACTAGAAAATCTGAACATATCTGTAAGTAGTAAGGAGATTGAACCAGTAATCAAAACCTCCCAACCAAAAAAAAGAAAAAAGCCCAAGACCAGACAGCCTCAAAGGAGAATTCTACAAATTTTTTTTTTTTTTTTTTTTG